AGGTCTGCAAAAGTGCTGGGAACTCACAAAGCTCGCTCGAGCACAAGAAGCCTCACTCGAGCAAAGAAGCAAATTTCTGGACAACAATAACTTGAATAACTAGCAACCAATTTGTCCCAAACATGCCCAAGACACTCCAAAACTCCATCTCAAAGACAAATGAGAGAAAACAATACATGAGTAACAATATTAAACCATGAAAGCCGAGTCCAGAATATAACAAAAGTTGGGTCAAAATCGGAATCTCCATAATGTGCTTCAAAGCTTACAAAATTATGACAAAAGGGCATTCGAAGCAACTTTTGACCAATATTGTGGTTATTCAAATTTATATGTTCTACTTCACACATAATTAATGAAAATCATGGTTTTAAAAACTAGACTGGACCGGCCGGTTCAACCGGTTGAATCGCCGACCGGTCGAGGTTCCGGTCCGGATACATCCACTGAACTGGTCATAGTGGAAAACTGACTGCTCGGTCTTTTAAGACCTACTGTTTACTGTACTGTTATGCTAATGGGTGTACCACATATGACTGTACTGACTGAACAACTGAAATACTGTTTAAATGAACTGTTTTCATACTGTAAGGACATTCATTCTTAACCTCTTTACGCATTATGTTATTCACTGGGCTTTAGCTCACTGCTCATATATATATGTAGGTGTTCAGGCACCAGACCGCGGCTAGGAGCGTCAGGGTTACTCCAGTTTTGTCAAGCCAACTACCGTGCCTCACTGCGAGGTTCCAAGCCTATCATGCTAAGGCTTAGGGGTGTTTTAGAACTGTCTTACTGTTTTGTAATAACCGAATGGATTGTATAGACTGAATGTTTACTGTACTATTCTGTAAGGGATGGAGTCCCTAGTCTGAATGATTGTGTATATTGTGCATACTGTTTTGTACTGATCATATATATATGTATGAAAAGTCTTTTTGCATACAGACTGTCACAGCTCATTGGGCATTGTTTATTTACTGTATTGGCTTCCGCCAGGCCCTGTACTCTGTTTTATTGTACTACTGTTAAGCAGGCCTTTGGTAATCTCGGATTACTGGCCGGTTACGGTGCTAAACCCATAGGGCCAGGTTTAGGTCGTGACAATGCAGTTGATTAGTGCATATATCTGAAGGTTAGTGGAAGCAAGTTCATTATGTTGGTACTATATGTGGATGACATTTTGTTAGCTAGTAATGACCTTGGCTTATTGCATGAAACCAAGGAATATCTCTCCAAGAACTTTAAAATGGTCGATATGGGTGAGGCAAACTATGTTATTGGCATAGAGATCTTTAGGGATCGATCTCGAGGATTGCTAGGACTATCTCAAAAAGGATATATTGATCGTGTTTTGGAGAGATTCAATATGCAGTTTTGTTCAGCCGGTGATGCACCCATCATGAAGGGTGATAAATTAAGTGAAAAACAGTGTCCAAGGAATGACTTGGAAAGAAAACAAATGAAGGACATTCCATATGCTTTGAGGCTACAAATCATGCTTTATGGTTGCAAAATTTCATCTCAGGACTTGGTGTTGTTGACTCAATTGCCAGGCTGCTGAAGATATATTGTGACAATACCGCAGCAGTTTTCTTCTCTAAGAATGGAAAGTACTCCAGTGGTTCTAAACACATGGAAGTGAAGTACTTGGTTGTTAGAGAGAGAGTACAGAAACAACAAGTGTTAATTGAAAACTTAAGCACCTCTCTTATGATTGCTGATCCATTCACAAAGGGATTGCCACCAAAGACATACAAAGAGCATGTCATCAGGATGGGTCTTTTAAGCAACCCTTGATGTGTATGGTTAATCGTGAGTGCTTATTTTTATTTGACACTATTTGCGCAATAATAATTTTTTTTTTTTGTTTTTCCTATTTCTAAAAGTGTGTGTACACATTAATTTGAATATTGATAAATAGGGAATGTCTTAACAAGACAAATTACAGGGGTCTTTCAGAAAAATAATTATATATCCCAAAAAGGACTGGGTTGGTGAAGGTTATCCATGGTGTAGTGCATAGAAGAAAATATGACATAAATGTTATATAACCGCTATGACTCACATTGGTGGTCTGAAGTAATCACAGTATTATAGTTTCTAATATATCTGAACTTATTGGCTATTTTTTAAAATTCGTGATCACGTGTCAAAGTTTTTAGTGTGGAATCCAATGAGTCAAAATTTTTTAAGTTGCATATTTTTGAAAAAACTCATAATTGCATCATAATCGGCTTAATGGGCCAAGTGAGAGAATGTTGGATTTATTTTCTAGTGTGGCCCAATAGCCTACATATTTTTACATATTTTATTTTATTTGGACTCCACAATTAGATAAAGCCAATATTTGAGATAAAGTTCAGCAATTAGAATTTTAATATAATCACTCTTCTAAGATAAAGAAGGAAACCTTGATGGATTAGGAATTCTTCTGATAGAGTTTATTTGGCCCTCTTCTCTCCTCTATATAAGGATGGGTGACTCCCCTTTCATATCATGAGTATTTTTCCATCATTTTAAGTTTTATAGTCATCCTAATTAAAAGAGACAGAGAGAAGAAGGTGAGCCAAGAATTAAAGATTCAACTCTAAGGGGTATTTTCTCAACTTCTCCAATTCAATGGCTGACAAAGGTATGTTTTATTCTTGAGTTGTATTGAATTCAAGATCCTGTAAAGTTTAATTCCGCATTATTATTACGGTTACATATATTATTAAATCTTACATATTTTCCAGGTTCATAATCTCCGAAGCAGTAGACACCATAACAACAACTCAGCTCATTAGAGACAACGAGACCATAGTTTCATCTGGCGGAAGCTTTGAACTGGGATTTTTCAGCCCCGGTAGTTCCAAGAATCGATATTTGGAATATGGTACAAGACAATAACAATAAGGACCGTGGTATCGGTTGCTAACAGAGAAACTCCAATCGCCAATGCGTCAGGAGTCTTAAAGATCACCAACCCAGGAATTCTTGTTCTATTTCATGGAACTAGCAACATGATATGGTCTTCTAATACGTCAAGATCAGTACAGAACCCAATTGCACAACTTTTGGACTCGGGAAATTTTGTTGTGAGAAACGCAAATGATGATAACCCACAGAATTTTCTTTGGCAGAGTTTTGATTATCCAGGTGACACGCTTTTACCAGATATGAAGCTAGGAAGGAACTTGTTAACTGGTCTAGATTGGTACTTGTCATCGTGGGAGAGCATCAACGATCCAGCTCAAGGTGATTATACGTTCAGGATGGATACTCGTGGATATCCACAATTGATTGTCAGCAACGTTACTACTGAGACGTACAGGACTGGACCTTGGAACGGTCTCCGATTTAGTGGGACATTAAACCTGAAACAAAACACCATCTTTGAATTCAATTTTACTTTTAATGAAGAGGAGGTGTATTATGGTTACGAGCTTCTCAACAGTGCAGTTATTTCGAGGTACTATATCTAATAATTTCATAAATAGTATTGATTAGAAATAGAGAACCCAGTTGCACAACTTTCGACTTTCTAGTACTATTTATGAAATTTTCGAATACGTCAAGATCAGTATAGAACCCAGTTCCTTCTAAAGCCCAAGAAGCTTGAATGTTAGAACAATTTTCTTTAATTACATTTCTGTACTCAAAATTAAAGTTCTTAAACCATGGAGTTATTTTAACAAAAAATTGTTAGGACCGAACATTTGCAAAGTTACAATGATGAGTAATCGAAAAGTATAAATAAGAGCTTTAGCATAGTTGGTTGACTAAAGCAATGAAAAATGAATGTACAATTCTTAACTAAAGGGCTATTGATCTACCACTGCACATCCTTGACTAATTTAAATGCCTCCATTGATGACATGATTCTTTTTTTACTTTAGAAAAACAAACAAATGGTAAGTTTGAATATGTCTTAGTATTTATGTCTTCTGCATGAAAAAATCACTGGTCATGGTAGAATTTACTTCGAACATTTTAGACACAAGGTAGTAAAAGACAATAAATAAAGAATAAAGAAAAAAAGGGGAAAGCAAAGAGAAGTCAGTAAACATGCCTTCTTTGAAGTCAAATATTGTTCCTACCACAATTCACCAATGGTAATTTATCCTCAGGGTGAGCTTAAAGGGGGACAAGAAATAGCTGTGAAGAGACTTTCAAGAAATTCTAGTCAAGGACTGTAACAACCCCAACCTCTAATTAACGTTAATCCATGATTAATTATGCCTAATTAGCAATTAAGGTGAATTCTGCATTGAACTGCATGTGTGTGATGCATTGTTTGTGTCTATATCTGTTAGGCGTAGAAAGATTTGTTCATGTTTTAGTTTCGATTTGCGAATTGAAAGCCTTATCAGCGTCCGAATCAGAAATTGACTTGATTTATGGCTAATTAGGATTTATAGAATTTTATGGTAGGTTTAATTTAAATCTGATTTGGAATGATTAAATTAGAATAAATGAGGTTAAATTACATTAGTTTGAGTTTATTTCATTCTTGCCATTAGTGGGCCACTTTCAAAAGTATTGTTTGAGGCTTAATTCATACACTTTGATTCACCACTCTTCTCCATCCACAAGACCAAAATCGAGAGAGAGAGAGGGAAAGTAGGAGAAAAGTTTTGATTCAACAAGAGTTGGCTTTGGAAGTTAGAAGAATTGAAGGGAACTTGCAAAATTGAGTTAGCATACGTGGAATTCAAGACTTAAGGTAGGAAATTCATTCTTTTAATTGATTTAAGTTGTTCATGCATGAATTCATGTAAATTGAGCTATAAGATGTGAGAATCAAGCTTAAGGAGCAGGGAAGTAGGTCAATCCATGCATGCATGCATGTTTCATAGCATTTTGAAGATTGATTTTCAAGAATTCCTTCATGCATGTGTTGAGTTCACTCTAATTTTGGAAACACAATGAGTTTCATGTTATTTAGTAGCATTTGATCATATTTTGGGGAGCCTTAGCTCAAAAATGTACATGCATGTTATGTTCATGAATTAATTTTGAGTTTAAAGTTGAGTTTTTGTACAATTAGCAAGCCTTTAGGCCATGATTTCTTATTATAATTCTCTAAACATGTTGTATTATGAGTTTTTATGTATTTCCTCAAGTTTTGGCCCAGAAAAAAGAGTTTTGGATGCTTCAAAGGTTGAATTTGAGCTTGGTGATCAAATCTGAAAATTCTAGAAATTTGATCCACGCTCGAGCGTGGAACTTTACGCTCGAGCGTGCACTCCGAATACATGCACTTCCGCTCGAGCGTCGAGGGTTACGCTCGAGCGTGAAATGCATATACCTAGAAGTTTGTGTGTTTTACAGTCCGCTCAAGCGAGGGTCTGAGTCTCACGCTCAAGCGGAGGTCGAGCGTCCGTCGAGCGTGAAAATCATGCATCCAGTACTTTTTCAAAAGTTTACAGTCCGCTTGAGTGGGGAAAGTCACGCTCGAGTGGAGCTTCATTATCTGCATGTCCGCTCGAGCGGGGAAAGCCACGCTCGAGCGTGGACCTTATTTTCAGCAAGTTTCAAGAAATGTTTTTCAATACATTCTTGCATCCTCATTCCATCCTAAGCATTCCTAAGCCATGTTTAAGATTCCATAATGAGGATTAAAGGTTAGAAACACACTAAGAGCAAACAACATAAGTTATATGTAATTAGAACGTGTGCTTCAAGTGTGTGTCTGTTATGTGTTATATAGGTCACGTGCCACGTACCGTTTGACCAATCTGCTCCGTCTATCCGTCTTAAGGCCAACTGTGAGTAATAACATAGTAAAGCTATGTTCCACTTTACTTATTTTCTTATAATGAATTAAGATCTGTTTTCTGAAATGATATGTTCTGTACAATGAATGATTGTCCAATTTCTGATATGTATTCGTGACATCCTTAGCATCATGTAATATCTGTTAGCTGTTACCCGGTATCAGAGGTTCCATCATGGGACTTAATATATCTGCACTCTGTTACCCGTACCGGAGGCTCCATCATGGGGCTCAGTGTGTTTATTCTCTGTTACTCAGATCCGGAGGTTCCTTTATGGAACTGGTTATTCGTAACCCTCACGTGTCTGCATCTGTTCTGTATCTACTCTGTTAATGCTAAGGGATGTATCATGTATACTTAAGCATACCTCATGATTTCTGTATATGATCTGGACAAATTATGAATTTGATACGAAACTGAATTATGATTTCTGAATCTGTACGGACTCATTCATTGAAACCCCTTTACTCTGTTATTGTTCACTGCACAGTTTATATTATGTATGTAGGTGAGCCGGTGCGTGATCCGACGGCCTTCATTTCTATTTTTGTCAGCCAACCGTTGTGCCTCCCGAGGAGGTTCCGATCGAAGTCTAGTTACATGGCTGTTTTTGTACTTATGTTAGTCTCTATTTGTTTTGTATAGTCGGGTCTTGGGAATTACACTTTTGTAAATGTTTTGAAAATATTGATGTCCTTCGACCGACAAGCTTATGTATATGCAAGTTTTGAAATCTTCTGTCCCATGTATGTCATCACAGCTCATTGGACATTGTCTATTTTGTTTAATTGCTTCCGCAGCCCCTTATTATGTGCTTATCTGTTAAGAGGCATTTGGTAATCCACGGATTACTGGCCGGTTACGATGCTAAACCTACAGGGGCGGGTTTGGGTCGTGACAAGGACTCAATGAGTTCAGGAATGAATTTATATTTATTGCAAAGCTCCAACATCAGAATCTTATGAAGCTTCTAGGATGTTGTATTCAAGGAGAAGAGAAGATGTTGATCTATGAATACATGCCCAACAAAAGCTTGGACTTCTTTATTTTTGGTTAGGCTTTCTCAAAATCGTAATTTATTTAGCCCAACAAATCCATTGCTTTGATTTTAGTTTTCTCACCATTAAAGTGTTGTGTAGACGCGCCCTTGGGCCTTACTACAGTTTGGACTCAATTGTCATGGTCCTGTATCTAATCTCGTAGAGTGCAATGCAAGACCGATGAAATCATCAAAGAGTCCAAATCCGGCAAATCGTTTTTGAAAACAGATTTTTTGAAAGAAGTGCCAAACATGGACTGCTTTGCCAGATACAGAGTCGCCACCTAAATATTTTATTTTGGAGAAATTTAGGAAACCCTGACTCGTTGCCTAAGGCCACGTGTCCGTCATCACCAAAGTTACCTCGGCTCGGGAACTTGGGTACGATTGGGAAAGGTCAGATATGAGCACCCCCGCTCGCCCGATCAAAGATCGGCCTCTACTAACCATGATATCTAGTTTTGAATATTTATGTGTTCTTATTCCGATTATTAACCTAGATTTACTATGTGATGCGCACAGCATACAAGTATAGACTGGATCGCCTGAATTGGAACAAAAACATCTTATGTTTGTTTATTTGAAAATGGTTTGATGGTGCTACCCGCAAGTAGGCTAAGACGTGGATTTGCCACCCTTAGGTGGGCTTAGAAAATATGATGATTTGCCACTATCTAGTGGGCTTAAAATTCGCAATTAATGAATTGTTCCAATCCAAATAACCCAACCTTCACCCACAGGCATTCAGGCAGTATAATCATATAAAACACATAGCCTCATGGTAAGCATGCTGTCATGGCAGTCACTCACACGCATGCAAGGATGCTAAAGCATAAACACTTATCGAGTACTCCAAGCCAAAACAAAAGCTATGTTAGAAATCCATGCATGATCCTAACTATACAGAAATGCCTAATGCAACACATGCAAAATGCAACTATAGTAGGCTCGGTTATTCTAAGGATGGCGTGTGAAATGCTACAACTAACAAGTATTCAACTCGGAATTGAAATACAATGCAGTTAATAGATGCGCCGAGCCTGGTGCATGCAAGACAGATAAATGAATGCAAACATGCTATCATACTGTATGCTAATTGAAACATGCCCTAATCTAACCATCATAAGCTGGTAAATAAAAGGGAGAAAGACGTGGGGTTGGAAGACATACATCACACGCACGCACACTAATTACAACATTGCCCTCGCTCGGAGGGTCTGAATAAATAATATACAGTCCGAATGAATAGTACAGTCCGAATAAATACAAAATCCTAATTAATTAACAAATTAATCTAGGAAAGCAGGGAATTAGCATGCAAGCTATGGACCGCCTCGACTCTGTTCCGAATGATGAATGATGCATGCTTGGGTTGCCTTTGTCGGGAAATTCCTTGCGATGCCCCGGTTTGCCTCTGTTTGCAATTAATCCCGGAATGCTGTGCAAGGCTTTAGAAAGCTACTGATTTCTGATTTGCTGCAACAGAGAGCAAGAAAGGGACACAACAAAGTATTTTCGCATATGTATGCATGACTACTCTTCAGGGAGTGTAGTCCTCGATCCTCGTGCCACCAATCATGCATCTCGATGCATGATGGCCGAGGAGTCGAATTGCACGACTCGATGTGAAATGAATGCACATATAAACACAACAAGACCTAAACTCCATCATGGGTAATCCGAAGTGTCGGCGACCGAGAATTGAGACATGTTCCGTCACTCGGAGTACGAAACGTCCCTCGTTTCCCGTGCTTGGGCTAACTCTATCCCAAACACAATGCAAATGAGAATGGCATATACATGCGACTAACATACAACCTAGCATACGCAATGCTATGAAATGGCATACACAATGCACGATGGACTTACACCAATCATGAGTGGACCTCAGCCACACTCACATCAGTGGCCATGAGATGGAAAAGAGACAACCGAAATGCGTACACACGTGCGCGCATACCGAGGACCGAACCTAAGGCATAAAATGACACTCTACCAAAGCATGGCAAGGGATGAAAGATGGCATACAAACATGCAATTTCCAGCACTGAAACATGATGCTAAATGATCCCGAAACATGGAAATATGGCACCCTATGCATGAAATAAGCCCCGAAACTCAAAACTAGGCACATGTATTGAATTATAACTATGCAAAGCAAGCATTATTTGGCCATGAAGTACAAAGACAGAGCCAAGGCAATCCTAAAACATGGACATTTCTAGTTTAGAGCATGGCCAAAAGGTGCTAACATGATGGACAAAAATAGCATGCAAATTTAGCTAGCAAGCATGGTTTACATGGCATGTATATGAAGCGTATGAGAACTCATCAAACCAGCCAAAAATAGTGAATAAAACATGACAAAAGATGCCCAAATAACCACTGAAATGCAGCCAATACATGCAAAAATGATGAGCTCCTTTAGAGGGCCATACAAGGGGTTATTAAGCACATACAAGATAAACATGTAACATGGAAAAACCACCTCTACAAATGAGTTATGCAGCCCTAAAACTCACCAAAAATGCCCTAAAATTAACCTAGGAAGCATGCAAATGAAAGACCCTTTGAAAGGCCTTGAGTGGGATTGTTCTACACATGCATCATAGACATAAAATATGGCAAAATGGGCTCTGGACAGAGTTAATGCAGACTATAAAACTCATAAAATGAGGCCTGAAACATGGCTTCAATGCATGCAAAATAGAGTCTCTTTGGAAGGCCAACAATGCTAGTAAAGAGAATGAGGGGTGAGAGGGTCACCCCTCTATGATTTTAGAGCTCAAAGACACATCAAGGCCACTGAAAATCCACTGGATTTCAGTGGCTAAGAGGCCAAAACAAGGCCAATGCAAATGCTCACATGCATGGCTCAAAACATGGGGAAATGAAGCATGCAAGGAAGAAATGACTCCAAAAAGAAAAGTTACCTCAATCAAACTTAAAGAGGAGGTCAAAAAAAAAAAAACTTTCTTCAGTTTAGGTCAAGGTCCAAAAATGCTCACAAATAAGGCTAATATATTATGCAAAATAAGCCCTAAAAGAGAGATAAAGAATTCAAGGGGGTAGGAGACCTCAAACAGAAAAGTACTCTTAAACAAACATGAAGAGAAGCTCAAAATAAGACTATTTCCAGTTTACACCAAGGCTCGAAAATTCTTGCAAATGGAGCTAAGGCATAGAGCAAAATAATGCAAAAATGGGAGAAATGAGGACTTACCCTTGTAGCACAGCAATGCAGCCAACCTCGGACCAAGAAAATGAGCTTTGAACCTCTGAAAATGAGTTCCAAGGTGCTGGAATGGATGGTGGAGGTGTTAGGCTTAGAGGTGTAGTGTAAATGGCCAAGAAAATTAGGGTTTGGAGTTTTGGAGAAGAAGGCTACGGAGGGTGGAGTGCATGTGCCTTGGCCAAACTTTCTAACCTTTGCAAGATGATATGGAGGGTTGGTTATATAGAGGAGAAGAGCCAAGGCTTCTTGGAGAAGCCTTAAGAGGGGTTCAAAGCTTCTCAAAGAAGTTTTAAGCAAAAGGGTCAAGCTTCTTGAGGAAGCTAGACCAAAATGGTCAAGCTTCCTCAAGAAGCTTGACAAAAGAGTCAAGCTTCTCCAAGAAGTTAAGCAAAGGGGACAAAACCAATTAAAAAGGATCAAAAGGATGGTCAAAGTCTCGGACAGTGGGTCAAATGCTTCACAGCTGGCACAGCTGTGTTGCACTTGAGAAGAGCAAAAAGCAGAAAGCTGGCTGACCAGCTAAAGTGGCCGGCCGACCACCCCCCCTGGTCAGCCGACCAGGGGTCAAAAGGGTCAAGCAAAAAAGCTGGTCGGCCTCCCCAGAAAGGTGGCCTCCCAGATGAGTAGAATACAGCTGTGTGGTGAAAAACCAGAAAATGTGACCTAAGAGAGAGAAAAACCAGCTTTTTAGAGGGGTTCAAAAGGGTCAAGAAGAATTACTGGTCGGCCTACCCATATTGGTGGCCTCCCAGTTGAGCACAACACAATGATGGTGTGAAAAACTAGAAATTGTGGCTCAAAAGTGAGAAAAACCAGCTTTTGGAGAGAGAAAAAGAGAAAATTGATTTTTCAAGGAAAAAAGTGGCTGGCCACCATACTACCCCCTCCCTAATAGTGAAAATAGGGTATCTACCAAAAATGGACCAAAACGGATGCAAAACGAAGGTTCGGGGGCCAAAACACGCGGTCCGAGGCCCCGAAAATAGGCTGTTAGGCATCGGAAGTGGCATATGACCACGAAGGTGGTCTCCTGGGCCACAGTGTCCCTCCAAAGGGAGGAAATAAGGTGTGTGACAAAAACCGGAGCAAACGGAGGTAGTTAAGCGGTCCCGAACCGAGGCACACGGCCAACGGCTCTGAAAATCGGAAACTAGGCTCCAAACGGGAAAAATGGCCTACGACCATGAAACGTGGCCTACGGCCACTGAGAGATGGTCTACGAGACCTCTCCCTACCTTCGGGAAGAGGAAACAGAGAAAACAGGACCTGGTTCGCAAACCGAGGCAAAGCACAAAAGAGCCCTGAAGTCCGGAGGCAAAGCTCGCAGCCGAGACTCTGAAACCTCAGAACGAGCACAATATGCAACATCACCAAGTGCTCAACTGGTGACGTCTGAGTCTTAAGGTCGGTCAAAAATGGGGTATCTACATGTTGCTTTTGCCCTTTTTGGTATTGTGGAATATCCATAATCCATATGGAGGAGGAGCTAATGAACCCCATGGATACATAAGGTGTGGGGAGGTAGTGAACCTAGTATCTATGGATTAATTATACTCTCATCACACGATGTTGGAGTGATTTTTTAGTCTTTGGTTTCGATAGCAATTGTTCATATAGGTAAAGGCGGATCAGGTCTGCGTAGAAATGAAGTACTATGCCAGCAATTCAGCCCATGGATTCAATAGAAATTTACCAAAAATGGTCAAGTGGTGTCTCATCTATGCACAGAAATGAAGTAATTTGCCAAAAAGTGATTTGTTTTTAAATATTTTTGTTATATTTAAACTATTGTGTTTTTTTTGAAGATATCATTGATGTTCTATATTCCAAATTCTTTACATGAGCGGCTGCAAGAATTTGCTAGCATGGAAAATCCTTGGTTGATTTGTAAAAACTAATTTCTAGTTATATTCAAGAATTCGGTTAGCAAAGCTTGGTTTAATGAAGCAAAAATGTTGAACAGATCAAACTCAAAGCACATTACTGGACTGGTCTAAGCGCTTTCACATTATTAATGGAATTTCCCGAGGGCTTTTGTATCTTCATCAAGATTCCAGACTGAAAATTATCCATAGAGATCTCAAAGCTAGTAATATATTGCTAGATATTGACATGAACCCAAAAATTTCGGACTTTGGCTTGGCCAGAAGTTTTGGAGGAAACGAAACAAAAGCAAATACAAACAGAGTTGTTGGAACATAGTAATAATATCTATAACTGTCTCTATGCAAATAAATTTTCTTTGTACTTATTTCTTTTATGTTCCTTCAATGTTTATTTTGTTACAGTGGCTATATGTCTCCAGAGTACGCAGTGCATGGGTATTTCTCAGTAAAATCGGGTGTATTTAGCTTTGGTGTTTTGGTGCTGGAGATTATTAGTGGGAAGAAAAACAGAGGTTTCGTTCATGTAGACTACCATCACAACCTTCTTGGGCACGTGATTTTTAGTCTAGTATAATACTAAAATGTTTTAACATTTTACATATGATTGTTTTTAAACATATACTGATAATATCATCTTGAATTGTTCAGGCGTGGATTCTCTATAGAGAAGGAAGGTCAATAGAACTAATTGATGCATCTCTAAGGAACTCAAGTTATCTATCTAAAATACTAAGATCAATCCATGTAAGTCTATTATGTGTGCAACAGTGTCTAGAAGATAGGTCGAATATGTCATCAGTGATTCTGATGTTGGATGGTGAGGGTGCATTGCCTCGGCCTAAACAGCCTGATTTTTTCGCAAAAACGAATCTAGGTGATGCTGATTGTTCAACAAGTAAGGATGCATTGAGTTCAACCAATGAAGTCACTATTATGTTGCTAGACGGTCGATAGAGAACATAATTAAGCCAATGTTTGAATGTTTCTAAACCTGTGAATCATGAAACTTTCTCTCTCTTTCTTTCCTTTTATTTTCTCTTGTTTCAGCCATTTATCTTTTTGCTTGGGTTAATTTGTGGAATATATCCAATTCTGCATCACATTCTTTGTAGGATATTAGTTTTCTTTAACCCTTTACTCTTGGAGTCATTTCATTTTGACTGACTTGTAAGTTGCCATGATATATAGTCTTGGTATTCTTTATTGGCTTATTTTGGGAAATAGATTAAAAATTAACTTTTTAACTTTTTTTTTTGATTTTTTTTATAAAAATATATAAAATGTTACGATCCGCTCCCCGTATCCAAGGGTTAAGTATCGTGATGGCCAGTAACTGAGCTTACCTACGGCCAATTCTTAAATAAATTAATAAACGCAAGCGGAAAAAATATTTAAGTGAGGGTACCAAAATAATCATCGGAACTTCTATTTTTATTACAAAATTTATTGACCAAAAAGGCCGATATTTATATATAAAAATATCATAAAAGTGCTGTGTGTGTCTATTCCGCAGCCCTGCGTCTAAGACTTTCCAAAAACTATTTCTGAATTGCATTGTTTCTTGAAAATTGGTAAACAACTATAAGCACATGTCAGAGTGAAAAATATTATACCAAGAGTATAAGGAACAAAAAATAACCATGGATAGTTATGTAACTAAAATATTTAAGATAATTTAGTCTGAGCAAATAATCATTTAAGCAGCAAAACTGAGATTATGTAAATAAATAACCATAATCATGGTACCGAACAGAACAGAACAGAGGTCACAGGAGTGACAGTCAGAACAGAGGTACAGATTCAAGAGGTGACTCGTACGGATTATAGAGGTGGCTCCTACAATGGTGTAGCACTTATCTCCGCACAGCACTTCACTCCGTACAAAACAGAGGTCAATGGATCCATGACAACAAAGGGTCACAAAGTGATCAAACAGAAGCCAATGGTTATTTAAGTCCCCCAAGGCATGAGACTCCCGTGGTGGTACTTACAAAACATAGTTGTTTATAAAGTTACAGTCCAATATTCTTTAAAATATAAACAAACATATCCATGAGTTTCATTTAAACAAATAGAGTTTAGAAATTAATCCATGTGACTGAAATATTAATATAATTTGTAATAATTTATAAAATATAACTTGTATAAAATAAATATTGTAAATCAAAACATACGTTGGTAGCTCAAGGTATAATATAACTCACCTTAACTTTAATACCTCACTATTCTTTCCACTATCAAAGACCCTCTCGGCTTCCGTTATTTTTTTCTTCCTTTTCTTCGTTTCTTTCCCTTCTCCTTCCTCTCTTTCTTTCCTTTTCCTTCATTTCTTTCTTTCTTTCTTTCTTTTCCTTTCTTTCTTTCTTTCTTTCGGCCCAGTTGATCACCTCCTCCCTATTTATAGGGAGGTAAGAACGTGGCCCGCGTATCTTCCCCAAATTTGATTCATAAATTATATAGATTTATACTTATCTTTAATAAATATTTAAGATAATTACACTTTGGCCCAATTTTCTAATATAACTATATAAATAAATTAATCCCTAATTAAATTACACTCTATCATATACCAACAGAAAATTAATTATTTATTTTACTACCACACCAATTATTATTATTATTATTGTTGTTGTTGTTGTTGTTGTTGTTGTTAATATTATTATTTATTTATTCTTACTTTTATATTTATTTATTTACTATTTTTAACTTTAATTTGGCCCAACTAATATTATAATTCTATATTTCTGTTAATTTAGCTCCAAATAATAATTCCTAATTAATCTCATATTTGATAATTCAATGCCAAATTAGATTCTGTATTTATTATTATTTATTTAATAATATATTATCACATACAACCATAATACTAGTATAAAATTTAAATAGCAACTTAAATTTTCGGGTTGATATATAAAAAATTAGAGAGGTAATGTGACCCCAAAAAGTCAAAAAACTAAAAAGTTAACTTTTAACCCAGATGCCAAAATAGGCAGTAATTTGATTCAACCCCCTTAAAACTTGATATTCCCTCAATCCCAAAATATTAGTCCCTTATTCTATTTTTTATTGTTCCAAAATATTAGTCCATTTTCAAAAATCAAGAACTAAGATAAAATGAATTTCTTATTTTACCCTTCTTTTAAATTCATTAACAACACAAAAAAGTATCAATATAACAATTGATATTTCTAAAAAAAAATGTACTATTAAAGGATAATTTTGAAAAATTAATATTTTTAAAGTACAATAATTATACTATCAAAAAAAAAAAAAGATTCTACCAAAAAAAGACTATTATTTTGGGAAGGAAGAAGTATGCAAAGTTTGAGCAATTTTTGCTTATAGAGAGGTACTGCCATGGTTTTCCTCTTTTGTGATTGACATAGGTGTCGGATTATGAAAAATACCGTCAAATTCGTTAAAACCGTACCGATCTAGATAAACTCGCACTATTCTAACCGCTAACCATGGTTTAAACTTCAAAATTTATAATCCATCAACCGAACTGCTCCACTCCGCTATAATTAATACATGTATATTTTTTAACTTCCAATGAAATATCAATGTAAAAATGAGTGTGAAAGAGATTTAAGATATGAAATTTATTACAAGCTAGTAGTTATATATATGAAACATAATATGTAAAATTACTTTGTGTCATATATCTAAAAAATATTATACAAATTAGCGTTATATATTATGTAAATGTATGATAATTAGTTAGAATATTCTTCAATCCGTGAAATCCGTTAACAACTGCTCAAACCGCAATTTGTCAATCTGCTAATCCGCCATTTGGTTTATAATTTTATTCTCAAACCGCCCGAATCACACCGCGCACACCCTTAGATGAGATCATCATTTTTATATTGCATAAAGTAAAATTAAATTAAACTCTATTTATTGAAAAAAAAAAAAATCATTCATTATGTGATTAAATTATATACATCTTCAATCTCATAAAAATATAGGTGCTGGTTTCATAAGTAGCATGTTGCTCAGTTTCTCAATTTTAATTTTATTGTCTTACAAAACATGTATATATACCTATATGGAAAATTTGGTTATAAACCCTTCTTACATTTTTTTTATTGTTAAAAGGATCAAGAAAAAAATTATGCTTTCAAAACCCCCTTATTATTATAACGTCTTGTATAAAGGACAAAAATTATTATTTAAATATTTTATTAGACTATTGTACCCTTAACTAAATCTTCTCACCTTCTCCGCCTACTCTCTCCCCACCTTCTCCGTCTCTGCTCATAATCAACCTCAGTACACAACGAAGTTCGAAGCGAAATCATCAACTAAAATGCAAGCTAGGGAAAAGTAAAAGGAGAGAGACGATCGAATGAGCACGCAATTGAGGTTTAACTAGTGATGTATGTGTATATATATATATATATGTATGTATGGATATATAATGTATATAAATTGATCAAATCAAAATTGTAGCATTGGAAATTGGGGAGGAGATCTGAAAAAAGGAAGCAACCTTTTTTTGATCTGATGATAAGTATACACATATCCTCAGATCCTTTGGCGGAGTAGATTTGGTCAAAAGAGCAAATCTAGTTGGCGGAGATAGAGATCGAAGACGATAGAGCAAATCTGGCATGAGGAGTAGATCTGTAGTCTGTGATCGAACCAAAGGTGTCAGAGCAGTGACAGCGAAAGATGAGATTGAAGACGGCGGCGACGGATAGTCTTTCAGATCTCCGCTGCAACGGTGGATCCATGCCCGCGACGGGCGATAGCGAGGACCGATCCGAGTTCATGACTAGTGTCGAAAGAGAGAGATCGGAAAGAGGAGATTGAGTGGAGAAACCGGTGGTGGCGGCGGTGGCTAGCTTGGCGGCGGTGGCTAGCATGGCAGCGATAGAAAAGGCAACACAGAGAGAGAGAGATTGATTGGTGTTTTCAATTGGCTTTTTTATTATTATTATTATTTAATTTGTTAATAGATCTAAGAGTAAAATTTGATTCTGGTTCGTTTATTTAGTATGTATTTTATTTTTTGTAACAGTAAAATTTTACTCTGATTAAAAACATATTGATTTGTTTAACGATACAAAATTTTACTTTTTATTCTGAATCATAGTAAACTTTACTATGATTTAAAATAAAATTTTACTTTGAAATACACTGCGAGGATGACTTAACAGGAGAACTAATAGATATGAGGGTAATATAATAAAAGAAACAAATTTTAAAATATTAGGAAGTTTGAAAAATACCTATATAATTTTTATCTTTTTGAAAGACAAATAAAAAATAAAAAGCCAGAATCCATCCGAAGCAATCAACAAGACACATAATTTTTTTGATTCATTTTTTTTTTGATTCAACAAGACAAAGATTTGTATGTAAAAAGAAAATCATAATTAGAATTACAACAATGATACATCCCACTAATTTGGGAGCACTAATGGACCACTAATGAGGTGGAAATTCAAAAAAAAAAAAGAAAAAAAAAAGAACTTAAGGCCAAAACATCACATCAGTCAGTGGGACCCACTCTCTAGAGCTCCTTTAGTGCTCCTAATTTAGAGCTCCCAATCATTTTTCTTAGAATTACTACAAGTCTTTCTGTAACCCAAAAAAAAAAATAAAAAATAAAAATTAATACAAGTCTCTCAATTCCTGTTGAAGGGCTTCCTCTAACAAAAACTGAGAGTGTTCCATCAACTCGGGGCTCAATCTGAACATCAGAACGCAAAACTCCATCTGATTGAGTGCTCCATCACCGTCGAAATCGCCTTCTCTCAACATTCCCCTCAGATCATCGTCCCTCAATTCCTGCAACCCTAACAGGGCAGCGTTTCTCTTGAGGCTATCGAACGTGATGATCCCTTTATCACCGTCCATCAGCAACCTAAACCCATTACACAGCTCTTCGATCAAGCCTTCCCCGCCCAACTTGTCGGCCATGATTGGCAACAAATCTTCGAAATTGGATTGGGTATTGGACGCCATTCAAGGAGATGTAAAGATTCGTAGACACAGAAAGTTGTAGAGAAAGAAAGAGATGAGTTGTGGGGATGAGATTGAGATTGAGATAAATAGGGGGTTTGGGATTTCGGAGAAGGAGAGGCCATGGAATGGGATGACAACTCAGGTACAGTTAACGCAAAGGTCGGTTCAGTGGTTGATCCAGCAAATTTCCTCGCTTTCGGAGAAGCTCTCTACAAATGGTATAATCGTCCATTCATGCGGAAGGTATGCTGAATTCTTGGGGAGACTTTAGCTTGTTGTCAAGGGCAAAATCGTCTATTCATAACCAGGTCTACTAAACAAACTTTACCCTTGTAGCAAAATAATACAAAAAATGGGAGAAATGAGGACTTACCCTTGTAGCACAGCAATGCAGCCAACCTCGGACCAAGAAAATGAGCTTTGAACCTCTAAAAATGAGTTCCAAGGTGCTGGAATGGATGGTGGAGGTGTTAGGCTTAGAGGTGTAGTGTAAATGGCCAAGAAAATTAGGGTTTGGAGCTTTGGAGAAGAAGGCTATGGACGGTGGAGTGCATGTGCCTTGGCCAAACTTTCTAACCTTTGCAAAATGATATGGAGGGTTGGTTATATAGAGGAGAAGAGCCAAGGCTTCTTGGAGAAGCCTTAAGAGGGGTTCAAAGCTTCTCAAAGAAGCTTTAACCAAAAGGGTCAAGCTTCTTGAGGAAGCTAGACCAAAATGGTCAAGCTTCTAGAGAAGTTAAGCAAAGGGGGCAAAACCAATTAAAAAGGATCAAAAGGATGGTCAAAGTCTCGGACAGTAGGTCAAATGCTTCATAGCTGGCACAACTGTGTTGCACTTGAGAAGAGTAAAAAGCAGAAAGCTGGCCGACCAGCTAAAGTGGCCGGCCGACCACCCCCCCTGGTCAGCCGACCAGGGGTCAAAAGGGTCAAGCAAAAAAGCTGGTCGACCTCCCCAGAAAGGTGGCCTCCCAGATGAGTAGAATACAGCTGTATGGTGAAAAACTAGAAAATGTGACCTAGGAGAGAGAAAAACTAGCTTTTTAGAGGGGTTCAAAAGGGTCAAGAAGAATTACTGGTCGGCCTACCCATATTGGTGGCCTCCCAGATGAGCACAACACAATG